AATATATCCTTATTTAAAAGTAGTAAATGTTCCGTTTCGTAACTATAAATTTTGTACATTTTAACAATCTGGGTTTTTATATTTTGTTTTTTTGTTAATGTATTGCTTGGGTTTTTGTTCGACTTAGCTGTGTTTTTTAAAAAAAAATCCCATTGCTGGACTAGTCTGTTCCGTTGATTTCCAAGTAGTTATTTGACAACAGCGTCATTAGAATGACAATGAGCTTATATAATGGGAAGACAGAACTACTGGTAATTTCCAAGGAAAAAATAGTGCCTAAATGTAAAATAGAAGTCAATGGCATTATTTTAGGACAAGTACAGAAATGTACGTATCAAGGCACATGGATAACATCCGATGGAAGATGTATCAGAGATGAAGAAAATTAATAAGCCTGGTCAAAACTGGCTTTCATAAATTGAAGAACATTTTATGCAATAGATGCATGTTATTGTAAGTTAGGAAAAGAATTAGCCCATGCTATTTAAAACCAGTTTGAACATACGGCTGCGAATCCTGGACAATTAATAAACAAGCCGAACAATTTCTAGAGGCCACTGAGATGTGATTTTACAGAAGAATCCTCACAATTCCTCGGACGGCTAAAACGGACAACCGATATGCTATGAAAGATACGACAGCTGTAAGACATCTTATCAGAAAGAGACAGTCATAAGACATCTTATCAGAAAGAGACAGTCATAAATTATTTGTTTGGGGGGGGGGGTGGAGGGGTGGTCATGTTATGAGAGGAGAAAAACTGGAACATGCTGTGACCATTGGAAAGATCTGTGGAAAGAGAAACTGGGGGAATTAGCGCGAGAAACTTCTTGAAAGTCTTTTGTCACGGCATGGAGGGGTGTCGACACACGAACCGATACACGCAGTTATGGAGTGGCATGATCACTTACGCCAGTCGACAAGGCTCTTGATGATTATGATCATGAGAAATTGCATGACATATAACAGAAAGACAACAACTGAGTCTACAAAAGAGTTGAATGGGAGCAGACCAAGAGACAGGCTAGGAAGACTGTAAACTGTAGAGAGATAATATAGATGCAGACCAACCCACACTTTGAGTCACTAACCGGAAAGCGGAGGTGTCTCACACCGAGATGAATGGATTCCTGAAGCATTAAACTTCACTGGGTGAGAGAAGAACAAGATGAAGAGTTGGGCTGAGTTAAGAACCGACATCATTGTATTCGGATATTCCCCATAAATGGTATGATACCAATAGCAACCTGACGGCATTTCCGTCTTGCCTTTCCCTTGATATCTTGTATATCCCAGAATTACCCACATGGCTTCATTTTCTGTGTGTTCACCTTTTATCAGCTGCCTCTTTGATGTGGTAGCCATTCTAAGTTCATAACCTATCACCGACAGGATCATATACTAGAATGAAAAAATGAGTTGAATGCATGGCGTGACCCTGCGAGCTGGGGATTGCATTTGGAATGTTTTTTCGACTGTGACTAACGTGTTGGTGTGAATTGTAGATTCAGAAAATGGCGCGATGCCTGTCGTGCAGTGTTGTGGTGCCCGTATGTGATTAAAATTGATCGCGTGGGCAACTGCTAATCTGTTGGCGACTTCTGCTACCATCAATGATGAACTATGATAAACATTCTGTGTGTTTTTCGTTGGCACAGGAGCGGAGCAAAGATGGGGTGACCCGTTTACTAGGAAGCTGAAACTAAGACTACCAGACATACTAGAATATTGTGAGCAGCATTCTTTGTTCCACGTTTATTACTGTCATGATTATGAGAGCATTAAGTCTTTTTTGGCATTTTAACGCAACTGCCTCGATGTGATCCCTAAAGGATAGGCTCCTACCAAAAAAGATAACCAGGTACCAGTTTGCTTTTTCTTAGTGTTTCTGTCAATTTTTCTATTGTCCAGAGAGCACCACAAAACAGCTGCCTTTTCTGGGTTGATGACAGCACCCATTTATGCACAGCAGTCAGTCGCGTTGTCTACAATTGCCTCTCACTCCCTTGCATATTTGCAAAATAATATCCTTTCAACACCTGGTGCTTCAAGTTCTGCAATCTTGCTTGTATACACATTGAAGAACCCTGGAGTAGTCCGGGGGCGATATTACACGGTTATGATGTTCATGTACCAAGGCGAAGGGCAACCATTCGTGAATGCAGGACAGCTGCTATCCAGTTCACCAGCCAGGAACAAATTCTCTTCTCCAAGAGGAAGACAGTGCGAGAAGGTTCTTGACAGCCTTTTGTCATGGCATAGAGGGGTGTCAACACGCGGAATGATACATGCAGTTGCGGATCACAGATAGTGCAGAGGCATGATTGCACATGCCAGTCGACAAGGCATTTGATGATATGAGATAGATGATAGGAAACTTGATTATAAGGAAATACTGCACTGCTACAGTAAAAGATGATAATGGGACATTTGCATGGTATAATTCACCTGTGTGTGTGTGTGACCTTTATTTCTGTACCAGGCAGTGCAGGTGTTCAAAGCAATGAGCACTCAGATTATCTGGCAGACAAGACTGTTACCACGATTGGCCCGGCACTGGACAGCAATGATGTCATTAATGCCATGTGAGCTAAGAATCACAGAGAAGATCACGGCAACAAGCAGGACTCAGTATACCTGTCCAGGTTGGTGGACATGGGGAGAGCAACCTGGAGTAGCCAGATAGGAACATTTTAACAAGGACACAAGGCATCTGGTCAATCAACCCAGACCGGCATCATCAGTCATTTGACTCTATCGGAGCAACTGAGGAGATTGGAGCATGTATAGATCTGTCCAGAGTGCTGTGATGATAGTCCTCACTAATCATTAATCAGGGTTTGTGATCTTGTCTTGCCACCTAATGTTAAATATTCTTTGTAGACATCCCATGTGAAAGCTGTCGAGATGTTTTCCTTGGTAAGAATATGTTGATCTAGTTTCTACACCATAAAGAACAGTGTTTACACTTTATAAATGTGACACATGCTTGATTCCAAGAGTTCTTTTTCTTCTGCCCTAGATTTCCAAAAGGAGCACAGGTCCTCAGCCAGCTCTTTTTTTAATGCATGTAGATCACCCCTTTTACTCCCAGCTTTTTAATTTCGCTAATTCCATTTTGTGTTTCTGGTAACATAACCTTTGACCCATTAGGGTCATTGAGGTGTATCGAGAGAAGCACTAGCACACAAAACCCATCTTTCTCTGCTTGATGAATAAGTGTATAACTTAGTCCTGTCAATTTCTTGATGTTGTCATTCCAGGTTTTTCTTTGTGCTCCTCTTCTTCGACTACCCCACAGTGTTCTTGAAGTAAAGTCTTTACAACTGAATCATGTCTCACCATGTGCCCGAATGAAGCTATCTTGCGATATTTCACCACTGCCAAGAAAAGCTCATGATAACCTGCAAATTTTTATATTTTGTTTCTGGTATGCCTTTATTCTTCCAGCCCTGTTGGTTCCAGAACAAGGACAATCTGGTTATGTTATCAGGTGTCTCAGTGCGAGTCCTATACAACACCAGCCTCTTTTCCTTACCTCTTAATTCACTAGAATTTTGTTTAGTACTCTGCCAAAGCTCCACATTACACATTAAGGATTCTATCATACCACTTAATTCCTTATATTGTGCGCAGGCACCAGTTAATGGAATGAATGTATTTTGACAACTGTTTTAGTTGTCCATGTTCCAGCTCCACACAACAGTCTTCTTCTCCATTCACTATCAAAATGGCAGGTGGCATATTTTGTCGTGGTTTACAGCCAATTTAAGTAAAACTCTAAATAATTGCCTTTTTCAAAGGGGGAAAAGGGGGGGGGGGGGGGCAGGACAGCTTCATACAACAGTAACAAAAGAGTTGAAGCTAAAAAAAAAAATGTTAAATATACTTTATTTTCTTTAATTATTCAACTCACAAAAACACAAATGAAATGCGTTGTCTACTTATTACTTGAAAATAAACAGTTAATACAACACTAGAAGCTCTGCTATATGTCAGTTTCTCTGAAATATTTCATCTCTCATGTTAGTGACCTCATCAAACTTACCTATGAACTATTTATTATATCTGGTGCTGGAGGCAGAGGCCAACCTACACAACAGCCAATATAGGACAGTAGATGCCATGGGGACCAAAGTAAGGCAAGGATAATCATGGGGTCTTTCCAGATGGCTGTGATGAGAGTGCCATTACGGTCAGAAATTTATAAAGGAGCGAGGTGTCTTTTGCAGAAAGCCACCATCATTAACCGACTCAGATTAAGCTATTTGTCAAGTTTCTATCAGCTGTCCCATTAATCCAATCAGGATGTCTCTCAGTATCCATACCCAGGAAATATGAAGATTTTTAATAAAAACACACTTGGATGCATGTTCTCCACTGCTCAAGAACATGTATAAGCACAGTTGGAGTAATGCTTGCTATGGCCTTGGTGATATGTTTATTTTTCATTGAAATTCATGGGACACCCTGTAACTAACTCAGTTCAGCCCAAACTACTGAACATAAAATTGCCTAAGAATTGCCAACAAATGTTGAGGGTGGTTTCCAACATCCTTAAGGTTTCCAATATACTTAAGGTTTCCTACATCTTTAAGGTTTTCCCTAACCCAAACAACTGTCACTTTAAACTGCCTTACCCCGGGTCAGAAGGTCAAGACTAGAACTTTGGCATCTCTATCTGGGATCCAGATCCCCATTTAGAGGGGAAAAGAACAGACAATGCTTCCCTAACAAGTATGTCACAAAACGTAACTAAGAAGGGGAGGAGGCCTTGCTAAAGTCAAAAACTGCAGCCTAGCCGTAAAACACAATATAGTGTACCAATCAGCCTTTCGAGGATTAACAAAGAAGAAGAAGAATTCTGGCATATAATCTCCTAGGATAGAAAGTCAGTCTATAATTCTGGCATTTTTCCCAGGCTTCCTGTCAAGAAAAACCATCAGGCTGGGTACCACTGAGCCTAAATAAACCATCTGTACAGGCTAATCACACACATTTTATCTGTCAACCTCTCCAAACACAATATCCAGGGTACCTGCAGAGAAACAAAGATACATTTCATTCAGGTACAGTGTTATATTATCTCTCTTTTGTCTAAATGTTGATTTTTTTCTGTGTATGAAAATTACTGGGATTTTTCTGACCCTAAATCGGATTCATTATGTTTAGGATAGCGAGGAAATCCCTGATAACATATACGCTCTAACATGAAGCACTGCATTACTATTATTCTTAGTGAGCGCAACTATGCACTCAAATAGTATCACTGATATAGGCTGGATTTCCTGTATATTTTATTTGAAGTCAGGCGAAGTCACAGCATTATGTTTAATGTAAGCCGCATTTAACACAGAGCTAATTATTGGGGTAGGGTAAAAGGGAACTCAGTCCCTCCCTAAAAAAAATGTTTAAGGGGCGTTCAAAGACCTGGACACCCAAATCCCAGTGCCTATGGTGGACCACCCTGTATTATAAAAGCTGTGGTTGTGTAATGGCTACTGGAGTGAAATGTGAAACCATAAGCTTGGATCTGTGGGCATCCCTAATGGCTGGAGCACATACAGATTGGAATGCTCAAGATTCAGAATTTGTGACATTAAGCAGTTATCATGCAGGTCTGGATGATTTTTGGGGATTCCCAGGGTGGACCTCGATTCTCAGATCCCCCCACCTTCCCCCGCCTGAAGAGAATGAGGCACCTGGGTGTAACCAGAGGGTCTGGCCAGCTCACTACACTCAGAGAAAAGACAAGACGGATATATAACCGGTACCATCAGTATTAAAACTTTGCGCTGGCTGCTGAAGATGAGGACGGAGCGTGCATGGGAATGCCCCAAGTGCTGTGATGTCAATTCTTAGCTCAACACCGCCCCCCCCCCCCATCCCAACTAACAGTATGTACCAAGAAATGTTATGGTGTGCAAAGGCAGCTTGCATAAAACCAAATTCACCCAGAGTACTACTTGGTCCATAAAAATGTGGCAGCACCAAATCCCCTTAGAGCTCCCAAAAAGGTAAATGAGCTATTTACTAAATATAATTTAAAATTCTTATTTTCAAAAACTACCAACTCCATGCAGAACTGACTATAAGAAGAAGAACCCCGCCTCTCATTCTGCCTCTTTCTGTATACTCTTTGTCTCTGAGCACAGATTACATCATCATCATCCTATTATACCCTTATATGTCACTTAAGGCTTACAGTCGATTCCTTCATACCCTTCTTATCATGTGTGATCTTTTCTTCTTCTTCATACTGTCCAAATGACATACATGTCTTGTGTCTTGCTTAATCCACTGTGGGCCATAAACTGGGACGTCACCTCAAGGTTCCTCAGGTTTTCCCAAAGGTTAGTTGTCAGCTCCACTAGGTGTGGTCACATGTTGCTTCGCAGCTCCTTCAGGAGAGGACAGTCTTGCCGGATATGTTCTGTAATCTGTTCAGCACCAAGTCACTGAGTGTTTGTTGAGTCTGCAGTGTCCAGTGGCCAACACAGTTGACTTCTTCGGGCATCTCTTTTCTGGTTTAGCCTTCCCAGTTAAGTTTTGTGGCACAAATAGGAACACTGTTATTGTCTCATCTGTGTGGTGACCTGGATAGCTGCGTGCAGTCCGGGGGCACTATGTGCAGTACTTATGGAAAGCATGCATCAGGCATGGATTCCCCATATGGCCATTTCCCTCCAACTAGTGGAGCCAGGTAGCGGATGTTCATACCTTTTCAGTTATAAAGTATGATATTTGAGCGGAAAAACATCTGAACTTTTGCTGTCATATAGTAGGACACCTGACAGACGGACATTTGAACCCAAGTAGCCATACAGCAGGAGATGGCAAACAGATGTTTGAACCAAGGTTTGGCCTAATCGAGGACTCTTGGTGTGAACCAAAGTTGGCTATTTATTAGGATACTCTGGCAGTAGACTTTACACATAGTTCCAAATGAGTTTCTGAAGGACATTATCACTCATTCACTGAGGAGAGACTGGTAAGTGCCAGAGGAATTATGGACACTGCTTCTCTGGGAGCCATCAGCTGCAAGCTGAGTTAAGTTGAGTCAAGAATTGACTACCTGGGGCATTCCCACGCATGCTCCGTTCTCATCTTCAGCAGCCAGTGCAGAGTTTCAGTACTGATGGTACCAGTCACAATCTGGTTAAATGTCTATCTTGCCTTTCCTCTGAGTGTAGTGAGCCGGCCAGTCCCTTTGGTTACACCCAGATGCCTCATTCTCTCCAGGCCCATTAGCTGCGAGATCCCTGCCAGCTCAGTTTAGACCGATACAGGCCATTATTTGTGGTGCACGATGAGGAAGTGTAGCAGGAGTCTTGCATGTCTATCCGTACAACCATCACTGAGCCTAGTGCCCTAGGCAAGGCACCGAGTATCTCCTTATACACAGCCTCAAATTTCCTTCATGACTGTCAGTGAAATCACTGCACTACTAATCTTTTCTACATCATGAGAAGAAACCAGTTCAGCTTCTCTAGCCTCTCTCATCAATGAAAAGATTGCACAGGACAGAACGGAATGGTGGAATATTCAGCCAGATGACTTATAAATGGCACAAAAAGATTTACAAAAATGATGTCAATATTCAGCTGTCTGCCTTTATTTTCCAGGATATTTCCTGATGTCCATTTTCAGACAGAGCAGACCTGGTCAATTTTAAAATTCACCACAATTCACTCTATTTTATTTTATATTAAAGATTTAAAAACCTATAATGGCAGAGACATGTTTTCCCTCTGTGTGTGTGTGAGGGGCAGGGGGGAAAGACCAAGAAATGACAGAACAAATCTAACCCTTCAACAGGCAGATCAAAGTAAGACATCACACGCAATAAGAACTGTTCTGGGCATGTCATAAGAAGAGGAGTGGTAAGAGACCTTGAGACGGTAACACAGAGCAAGCAATTCCATGTAGCCCATTTTTAGACAAAATTTTTATTGGTTTGTCCGTCTGTAAACCCCCCCCCCCCCCCTTTCCACTTTTTTCCTAAGCATAAATCAGCCTGAAAGTAGACACTGCACAGAAAAACACTATAGACAAGCAGAAAGAACACAACATGTTGACATACCAATAATAGCGACTACATCTGCCAACATGTGTTTCTGGGACAACTTATCAAGTCCAGCCTGGAAATAAAACAAAAAAACTGAATTTCTCTTAATAATTTAATAACGTAATTCATTAAGTTACAATATAACTAAATCATTCATTAAATTATAATATTAAACAATTCATAAAGATATAATTATTTAACAAATTTGTGTGCACTCTTCAAAGTGGTTATCTGAATCTGCTGCTATCTTTGTAAATAGTATATGATGAGGCCCCTGTCCCTTCCAGCGTGTAACTCTCATACCACTGTTAGAAAAACATGAAAACAGTCTTCTTTTTCTTTTTTTAAGTGCCTGTCATCGAAACTGATATTGCTATAGGTGTTCACTAACACCCTGACTGATAACATTTGTACATTTTTAAGAATGGTTCGATGTGCAATGAGGATAATCTGTTGAATAACTAACAAACAATTTTAAATACTTGTAATACTGAAACATTCTGAAGAAAGAACGAATAGAAAACAACACACAATTTGCTAAAGCAAACCGGCTTCTTGGGACAACTAAAACACCTCTGACACACAGAAGTATGGATTTACATACCAAGGAAAATCTAATAAGAACTATTTTGTGGCCAACTGTATACTAACAGTCTTAATGACTTAGATCAGTCAGTGCAAAATCACAACAACAGAGACGAGATGTCTGAGAAGAGCTGCTGAAGCGATAAGAAAAAATTAATAACAATAAAGATGAAGAGATGAGAATGATACAAGGACTGAAACCAGTTATACAGTTCATTAAAGAGCAAGAGAGGAGATGGTTTGGTCATGTGACGTGAATGTCCTGGTGCCAACTGCCACAGAGAGACATGCTAAAGAAATATAATGGACACAGAACAAGGGAACTTATACAATGCAGTGGAAACAGCACATGAAAGATCCTTACATCTCCCTCCAACACTTCACTGAAGTAACTTAAGGAAAGAAATTAGTAAAGAAGAAAAGACAGAATCAGCAGGAGGAGGAGGAGAAGAAGAAGAAGAAGAAATAGAAGAAGAGGAAGTGGCGGAGAAGAAGTAGTAGTAGTAGTAGTAATACCATTAAGATTTGAGAAGTAGTAGTAGTAGTAGTAGTAGTAGTAATAATACCATTAAGATTTGGGTGAATTCTGTTATATTTCACCCATGAACCACTCAACATTTGGACAACTTACTAGATGTGCAAATCCTGGGGCCTTGATCTTACACCTGTAGGGCTTGTTTGTGCCGTCTGACACCAGATAAACTCCAAACTCACCCTGCGTTACAAGAAATTACATCAGGTATTAACAATTTACACAACAAGAAACAAGGTATTTGTAAATAACAGACGAGAGCATTAAATAAAACTACACAGGTGCAAGCATAACCCCCCCCCCCCCCCCCACCAAAAAAAAACTATTCGCAAGTGCATCAAATAAAATCACCTATTTTCAAGTACAAAACAAAACCATCACGTAATTGAAAATACAACAAAAAAGAAATCACATACTCACAAGTACAACAAATAAAATCACTTATCCGCAAGTATAACAAATAAAATCAGACATTTAAAACAACAAATTCCTTTTCTACATTCACTCATAAAAGGGCACCATGTTGTACTTTCACAGTATCTGTTATAATATCTGTGCCTTGCAGCCCAACATATCAAATTTCAACAAACCCCTAATTAGTCGCTATATGACATTCCTGTTGAGGGCAATGGGTCATCCCCCCTCCCCCTTTCCGATGGGGCCCAAGAAACCACATGGGAATACAACAACAAATAAGACAAAATATCTTAAAGCACACACACACACACAAATCATATATTAGCAACAATAAAATCATTTACACTGGGAAAGTATTCAAAAGAAAGCCATTTTATATTAGTTGGGAACATCATCAACTAACAGAGGTGGTGCTTGATAGTCTGAAGTAAAGTCATGGTGGAATAAAACCAGTGGAGGTGATTCAAAATACTAAGGATCAAGATTTATGGAGAGATTCGAGAGCCTGTGTCCTTGGACATGGCACATTATGATGATGGTGAGGGAACATGAAGAAACAAGAAACATAAAAGAAACCTGTAATTGTACAATGTAAAGACACAGGAGTGATGATATTAAGAAACTACATCCAACCTTCAGTATGGACACAGGACTTGAGTCTGAACACAACATACCTTGGGAGCTTCCACACAGGTGTAGGTGGAGCCAGGTGGCACCTGGAATCCCTCAGTGAACAGTTTGAAGTGATGGATCAATGCTTCCATGGAGTCCTAAAAAATCATGAGAAATTAACAATGATACCTCCCTTTCTTTCCAAAAAAATCGACTGTGAACTTGTACTATAAGAAGCTTTTTTCTCATAACCAAAATGTTCTAAACAAACCTCTTCCTTCACATCTTTCTTCTTCTTCTTTGTTCAATGGATTTAAGCTCTAGCGGAAAGTCCTGGTTGTTTGTTTATTTTGACTTTGGCTTTGTGCCAGGGCCTGAGTTTTGCGTGTACATCCATTTTACATGCTTATTTGTGTGCAGTTGATAGTCCCCAATTAGTCAACTCCTATGACATGCTTGTTGGGGAGGCAGTGGGTCTATTCTTGTTTTCCCCATAATGGGACCCTGGAACCTACACGGGAACCTTCACATCCAACACAGCTTCATCTAACAACACATTTTTACACATTGCCACCAATCATACCTCTCTTCCTGCCCAGTACCTTTCTTCCTGCACCACATGTGACTCATAGTTTCTACAATGCAGGCATGTTATGGATACTTCTGGGAGAAACCTCCACTTACAGAGAAGTGATTTTGTATATTCCTCTTTGTATATGCACTGTTGTTCTCAGTCCTGACCCGCACACGACTACAAGTTACACTTGACTGGCGCAGCCGTTATGGCTGCGCTAATTATAACTTCTTTGCAGGTTGAACAGGGTATCTGGGATCTTCCTTACTGGTCTGCCACCAAGACCTAGATTTTTTTTTAAATCTCAGGAAAGTATGGTTAACCCTTAGGCAGCAGCCCGGATGAGGACAACTCAATCCGCTGATCACAGTTTATTTTTGTCATATGCTGAGGAAGCCACCATATTCATTTATCATTCGTTGATTGTGATGATCTACAGCTGATTAGCTCTACTTCTTGTTTCGACTTTTGTCCAAACAGAAGGGTCCTGTCTAATGTCAAAGAGTGAAGGGTTTAAAGTAGCGAGCCAGATTTTAATGTTTAAAATCAAAGTGAAACACTGAAAATCAATTAGAACAGATGGAGAAGGAAAAGAGATAAAAGAGGAA